GGGAAATTTCATGTTGTGTTAACAGGTGTTGTACAGTATTTCCAGGTCTAAGACCAGCCGCCGAATATGAACATTTTACTTTGCGACAGTTAATAAGTCCAACTTAATTATAAAAATAATCTCTTATAAGAAGTATGATTATTATTACTTTAATTTATTTTTATTTTCACCAGTTATGCATGCCAATGAATGGCCTTGGAAGGCAATCAAACTTTTTTCACTTTCCTTTTCTCTCACTCATACTTGATGATGGTACTTTTCATGCTAGCCAGCTCATTTTTGCGGAGGTTCTAATCCAACGTATTTGACAAAGAGAGAGCCGAGCATTATTTATCAAAGACAAGGTAAGGCAAGGCAAGCAATGACTTACATATACAACAACTTACTCGTTTCCTATTTTGCTTCAAACATTAGGCATTCTTTAGTGCATGTATATACGCCTTAATGTACATATACAAATATACATACTACCCGTATATGTATATGTATATGTATATGTATATGTATATGTATATGTATATGTATATGTATATGTATATGTATATGTATATGTATATGTGTATATGTGTATATTATATATTGTTTCAACTCGTCAGATGCTATAGCAATAGCATATTAGCATGTACCTGTCCGATGAGTTTGTGTGAATGGGAATAACGAGTAAAGGGTTATCATCATTGCCTCTCCACTATTGTGTACAAATAAAATATGCAACGTGTATAATTATACCTACACGCACTGAACAATTTCGATTTTTCCACGGCACCCCTCCCCTCATTGTTTGCAAGAGCATCTATAATAATACCATCATTTAGAGCAATTATAACCTACTTAATAACAACCACCTTTCTTATTTCTTCATAATGTGCAAGAATTATAATATAACCAAAGAGATCATAACAAACAAAACCATTGTTTGAGAACCAACACAAATCCAAATTATTTTAACTCAGTTTTTTCGTCTAATTTTTAGATATTCCATCAAAGCAAAGACTAGATGCCTTAAGGATATTCAATTTGCCTTATTTTTTTGCAAAGATCATTTATGAATGAAGACCTGAAAAGTATACGGTTTGGATCGTTGAAAAAACAAATGGTCATGATCCTAAAGGGTGTCCCTCAATAGAAATGGGCTTCTATGTACATAAAAGATTTTGTAGAAGCTAATCTAAAACCAGAAAGCTTCTTATTGTTACAGTGATCAATTATGTATTAGTTTTACATGGTGTTCAGCTGAAGCCGAGTATGGGTTGTGAGCTAAGTGCATGCATGCCTGCCTGCCTTATTATGAAGTTATATATAGCTCATCGGTCTCTCTTCAACTAACAGTTTAACCTATTGGGCTGGATACTTAAAGAAAACTTATGTATTAGTCTATAAGAGCCACCACCAATGAAGTGTATATGTGTTACGTTAACAAAGACTTATGCACAATAAAGGAACAAAACAACAAGGGATCATTTGTGTATGCGTAAGGGGATTGTTGAAATCCCTTGTGAATTTGTTGACTAAAGGTGACCTTTTGGGATGGAAATTGACATGGATAAGAAAGTTGGAAAATTCTTATAAGAAGTAGGTACATATACATATTTGGAACAGGGATGGAGTATATCTAAGCAAGCATATGCTTAAAGCTAACCTTTATATATAGTAGCTAGTACTTCAACCTAGCTACCTATATGTTGTTCAACTTGAATATCAGAATTATGCCCATGTCAAAAACATATGTTAAAGTAGAGCTATATCTAATATAAGGTTTGGTTGCATTCTTTGTGAGAGAGAGAGAGAGAGAGAGAGAGAGGAGCCTTTTTGCAAGTAATTCTCCATGTCCATGTTGTAAGAATATTATATAAATATTCTGTGTGGTCCACATGAATTGACCTATGTGTTAAATGAATTGTTTAATTGATTTAATACTATTCAGAAAACCTACTTAATTATATTGATCAACTAAAGATAAGTAATTTCTTATTTTATTACTGTGATGGGTGGTAATTGATTATGGACTTCACTAGGAAATGGGTCTTCTCTCTGCCTATAATAGTGCACATACTCATTTTATGTGTACACTGATGAAAACACGTATTAGGGTTCTCTAATGTGCAAAAGGCTAAAGAGATAAATCTACTTCCTCTACATTGACTGCTCGCCTATGAATCTCTTAAGACAAATATTTTAATAGGGTAGAAGATTAATCATTCAAGATATGTATGTAATTTAAGTCTAATTGAATTTCCGCCTAATGCTATTGTGAAAATCATGGATCATGGATTGGGTTTATGATTTTACCCAATATTAAGTTTACACATGTCACATAAAACTTGAGCTGAGAAGGTGAAAATGATGAGAATTGATAATGAAATGAAAAGGCAGCCAATGCCATGCAATGCGCATGAAAAGAAAAGTGTGTGTGTTGTATTGTGTTGGTGGTGGTGTGTCGGGGTGCGTGCAGGTTCACGATAACAGCGTTAGGCCCTCGAAATTCCCGACAAGACAAGGGCCATAAAATTCCACGCTTTTTTTTTTCTTTTTTTCTTTTGCATGGACAGGCGTGGGGCTGTTCCTGTGGGCCCCGCCTCCCTGACTGCGCGTGCAAAGCCGGACTTCGTGGGGGGCTCTCCTGTGGGTCCCTGCTAAACTAATACCCCTCAAATTGTATTGTATTGTATT